GGTTTACGTCAGTTTTAAAAAGAAAGAACCCGACATAGCCAATCTGTCCTTCAGGTGGATAAAGCTGTTGAGCTTTAATGGCGGATTACCTATTGTCTGTACTTTTTCCAATAATTCCCACTCAGTACTAGAAAACAATGGCCTGTTCAATTCTCACAGCCCAACTAAACAAACAGCTAAAAATATCTATAACTATAGCCAACGGTGCCAAGAAATCCATATAGTAATACAAGCTTCACAGTTGATATAGAGAGCACTGAATCACCCATGGTAGAGATTTCTCCAAAATTAGAGAGGAAGTTCTGAAATTTTCTAGTTCACTTTCACTGCCAATATAACAGCGTTGAATTAGAGCCGACAGTTACAACTAGACTAGATTTATCAGAGATAGCAGGGGAAGTAATCAAATGATCTTCTGTTTTCCATTGCCAATATAATAGTCACAATTTACGGTGATGATTGCCATGTCAATAAGCACCAACTGATAGCACAAGACACCTCCAGCCAACTGATCCTAGGGGATGATCGGCAATGCATGATAATTTCAAGTGTTTTCCTCTGAGCTAGACTAGTGCTGGAGGTGTATAGTAGCGGTCCCTTCCCGTGCTCCTAAGGCATTAGCATGCATAGTCAGATCTCCCTGGTATGAACATTCATGTTAGCAAAAAAAAAAAAAGAAACACAATCTGTGGTCAGTGCAGCAATCTAGACCCATGAATAAAGTATGAAAGAATCCAAGGTTTATCATAGGAGCTCCCACCTTTCTGATTTCTGAGATAAGAAAGAGTGACTCCTTCTAGCACAAGGTATTCAGGCAATTAACGCACCCCTGCCATGCCCCTAGTTATGCAGACCATGCAGAATGTATATGCCAAAAATGATTGGTTCAACCCTGATTTTTTTTTTTTCAGAATAAAGTTTTGGTAGATATATAGGTAGGTATATATTTTCATAGATATCTGTACATCAGACCAAAAGAGGGACAACTGAGGAAAGAGGGAAAGAGGCATTTGGTTCCAAAGGATGGACAGTTGGGAGTTATGGAGGTATGGTCCTAGAGGTCCTGCTAACATTAAGGTAGGATACAAAACAAGAAAGCCAGCTAATCTTGTTCCTGTTCCAAAATTCCAAACCCTGGCATTGACTACTTCTGTCTCACATCTGTCCAAATTAAATTCCTTATTGGTACATTATATTGATCTTCTATGTCTCTGAAAAAAACAATTGAGCTGCCTCAAAACTGCCTGATTATTGGGGAACATTCCTGGGAGGTTTCACACATATCTGTTCATATAACAGCTATACCTGCTGTACTTCATAAACACTACAATTTATCCCAATGGCTTTACTCAACACATGCATCTCAATCACTAGAAATTTCAATAAAAATGTAAACAGACATTTTTTGGGGGGGGGAAATGGACCAGAATAATTGGACAACCATGAATACAACCTTTAGTATAGTACCGTATTCCGTTTGACCAGGAGTGGGCACTGCCAGCTGTCGTAGAACTACAAATCCCATGAGGCATTGCAAGACTGACAGTTACAGGCATGACTCCCAGAGGCAGAAGCATGTTGGGATTTGTAGTAAAAGCACAGCTGGAGGGCTGGAGTTGCCACCCCTTCATCAGACTGAACCATTATTGACATTGTACATGACACATTAGCAGTATGTACACACAGGTACTATGATCATGACATTATCCTCTGCATGGAGCTCTGTTCACAGCAAGTTGCACAGAATTCAACCAACATTGCATGTGAAATTTACTGAAAGCAGTAAGATATCTAATTGAATGCGTTTACCTCATTCAACTGTCACTGATTTAATGGAATAAATGAAAAATTAATTATCTGTCAACAATGACTGCCAAAGGTTAATTTCAGGTAATGCAAGACAGCCAATGGCTAAAACATACAGTACACACACAAAGTGACTGATGAAAGGATTGCTGTGGTTGCCCTTAGTAACAGATGCTGCTTATTTTCTTTGTGCAGTAGGTATAAAAATAAAGTCTGGTTGCTATTGGCAGCAAGAACTGTTCTACATTCAGATTCTCAGATCCATGGTATTCACAAAAATGGCATCTGACAGATTTGGGAAAATCTTTGCCCACAAGCTAACAAACCTGTTTCACATCATAGTACCAGGCATCATCCACAAGTGTCTCTCCAGGCCTATGACTCTTTTAGAGTGGGGAGGGGTTTAAATTTTGGTCAGGTTGTTACTGCTATCTTGGGCTTCATTAGAGAGATTTCCCCACACTTCCCCACAGAATGCCCCTATTAGCTAAGTTGTGCCCCATTAAAATTTCTTGTTAGCGTGCACCCTCAGGGACAGACATCACACCCGATCGCTGCTGTCACATGTAAACAAAGCTGGGGCAGAGAAAGTTACACTACTCACTCAGGCTCTGACTGATGAATCATCTAATGCAGAGCTGGGCAGAGGAAGTGAACAGTGTAAGCATTACTCTACCCTGGCTGCTTATTTACAAGTGACAGTAGTGATCAGCTGAGCTGTCTGTCTGCTATCACTACAGGCCTGCACTGATGGGAGGTATGAATGGGGCACAGCTTTAATAAAAAGGAAAAACACCTCTCCTCGTGCTTGGGACCGGGGGACCGACTGGAGTCACTGCACTCAATGTGTGTCCGTGCTGATAGGGGTCTGAATGGTACACAATATAACAAAAGACACACGTCTCCTCATTCTTGGGGCCCATACCATGGGATCAATCAGCTAAGGTTTCACTACAGTCAACCACGGGTCCCCATTGAGAGATCTGAATGGAGCCTGCCTTATTCCATTAAGATACAAAAATATCTTTGCTAGTACCCTCCATATGCCATGCTGTACGTTCCTTATTCCACACTACTTAATTCCATACCCAATATTGTATATTGCCTATTCCACACTACTTTATACCGTATCTAATATTGTGTATTCCCTATTCCACGCTGCTTTGTTCCATACCCAATATTGTACATTCCCTATTCCACACTGCTTTATACCGTATCCAATATTGTACATTGCCTATTCCACACTGCTTTATACCGTTAGGGGCGTTAGGGGATTGACTCTTCCTGAAGAAATCAAATTCTCAATTACAAAGGCACATATCCAAATATGAACCTTTGGAGCCACATTTTGTCACAAGCCAAGTTTACAAATTCAAAGGTGCATCACAAGTGCATAAAAAAATCATTTTTGGAAAGGAAAAACGCTGCAACCAAACATATAACATACTTGATTTACTGTGTGTTTAAGTTTTATGGTGGTGACAGGGTCTCTTTGAGAAGCAAAGGACACAGGGTAGTGAACCATTTCTAGAAGATGTTATAGTAGAGCTACAGGGATTGGAAGATAAACGGATCATTAAGCTGAACTCCGGGATCAGCAGATATTGTCTAAGTACAAGAGACGTGTATTCCTCCTTGAAGCTTGGTGTGCTTTGTGTATTTCTTTCAGATGTGTGCAGTAATCCAGTGTGAAATTTGGTGCTTCCTGTAAAAAAAAACGCTCACTTCTGCTCTCTCTACTTGTGCAGAGTGACTGGTCTTGTCTCCACCCCCTCCTGTAGGTTTCTGCAGGCATCATTAGTGGGCGGGGCCTCCCGGGCCCCTGTCACAGCTCTGCTCTCTATATAAGCTATGTACAACACAATGATGATGTTGCTGCTACTTTTAAAAGGCATTATCTGGGTTAGCAAAGGCATTTGGTGCATGCAAAGTGGATTGATCTCCTTTGTGGCTATTGATTAAAATATTTAAATGAATGTTCAGTTTTAATATCAATATTTTGAACATGTTGGATAATGAATGCTGTTGGCATTCACCCGTGTTCATTTGAAACAACCGAATTCCCAAGCACATGATTAAACACGGGCGCGCTTCACTCCAATTCCATATGCATCACTTTCATAACTCCAACGTGCAGGGCCATCCCCGATGGTACATGCAGCATGGAATTAAATTGCCTATACATACCCATATTGTTAGGTAAAGCGAGCGAACAATAAATGTAGGAGAGTAAAGTGCACAAACAGGCGCAGTTAACTGTTGACGCACCTGCGCTGCACGTGGTTAAATGACCCCGCGTGGCTACAATTATCCAGCCCACATTGGTGTGATTGGAAAAAGTCTGACTACACCGGGGCCATACTCCATGCCACTCGATATGAGGGTGTCACCATTGTACCGCAGAAAATGACAAATCTCCTGAAATGAGAGATGACACTCTTCCCGGCCAGCTGGGACGAATCTATATTTGTGCGCGCTAATTAGTCCATGCAGCGTCTCAATCCTATTTGCGTTGAATGCTTTTTTATTTATACCCATACGGTTCGCAGGGTAAAAGGTAAGTACTATGATATTTACTAAACAAGTGAGCACAAGCCAAGCAGGGTCAGAGGCGAACCCCTACACAGCAAACACAGCACACTTCACACATGACTCTTTACACACGTCCAATCTGTATTCCGGTACTCGGTCAAAACCACTCCGTTACCATCCGCAGGACGGCTTAAAGACGTCCTGATATGCATATCTTACTATTAATAGCTTTGCATTATTATGTGTCACAGTGCCTGTAGGAGTACGCATTCAAGCAGTGCATAATGTGCATAGGTGGGTGACTATATGGACCCACTATATGTACACCCAATTGTGCACTCACACTTATACTACCCTCATTCCATCACACTGGTATGTCAACATGTCACACACCGTCACAGAGTGACACACACCTGTTCAGAAACATTCTAGGTGTATGGTCACCTGCGTGACACCTCTGCATTAAAGGCAGGCATGCAGCAACCAGGGATAAACATCCGCAGAGGAAAATAATAGACGAGCACAACAGACGGACATGCAGAGACACACACACACATGCCGACACATCCTATCACACACTCTGGTGACTGTCAGCAGTTTGCACGCTTTCTATATTTAGCTGTCGGCAGCGTGCGCTCTCCTCCCAGCTCTGTCTCTCTCACCCTTCGATGGGGTCTTCCTCACATGGACTTGGAGGGTCACAGGCAAGTGCTTCCCCCTCGTCGGACACTGCCTGGGGCTCCATGCTGCACTCTCTCAGACAGTCAGAAGTGCGCTGAGAGTGCGGGGACACTGCTGTCAGGCAGAGACTGCACTCCGGGTGGTTACCAGGGAAACGAGGAGGAAAAGACTCTATGGATGGGGAGGAGGTCTCTCTCCCTCTCTCGCTCTCCTCTCTCTCTCTCTCTCGCTCTGTCTCTTGCTCAAAGTGTAGAATAAGGGAAAAGAGGACTGCAAAAGAAGAAGGGAAAGAAGAAGGGCAGGCAGAGGAGGAGAGCAACAAAAAAAAGGGTGGGGGCAATTATTGTGGGGAGGAAAGGAAAAAATGGAAAGAGAATGGGATTTACAGAGAGAAGAGAGAGAATTGGAGAGGAGGAGAGAAGAGAGGGAGCAAAGAGGAGGAGGAGGAAGATGAGGAGGAGGGAGAAAAGCAGAATAGGTGTTTAGACAGCAGACAGAAATAGAACGGGAAACAATGTAACAAGAGAGGGTTCTCTTTGTAAGAAAGGTGTTGGACTTAGTTGTCATATTCGAGGATGGGATCGGTGACCTCTTAACCCATTTATAAGAAGCACAGGGACTTGGCAGCACGCTGGAAATTGTTTAATCAGGCTGCAAATTACAGGAAGAGCAAGGTGCAGTAACCCATGGCAACCTTCAATTATTCTGTGATGACATGTCAGATATTTATTCGATGTTGCATCGTATCATTGCTCTTTACTCTGCCTTAAAAAAATAAAACAATCTTGTGTTGTACATCCGCTTTATTGCACATTATTTTTTTTTGGTTGTGTTCTCTTGGGATTTATTTCTGTGTGCCCAGGCAGATTTGAACACGAATTTGTAAACATCGTAACTATGTTGTTTCTAATAATTCTCTGTAAGGGCTTTTTCAAATGGGCAGTTCAATCAGGTCTGCTTGTCAGTTTTTCAAGTGGATCTGATGGGAAGCCCAATGTAAAGGTGGCCATACTTTGTTCGATTTTGGTTCAGAAATCATACATGAATGATCTTTCTAATGAGTATTGAACAGTTTATGATACAGCACCGATTTTCGTTTTTGCTAATGTGAACGAAATCAGGTCAGGTTGTAAAATTTTTCTCTGACCAAACAAAATTCGATGACTGAGTGGGGCTTTCATTCGTCCAAAGTGCCTCTGCCACATGCGCAAAAGAAAGCTGCCTAGGTCAAATGAATACTTTCTCTGCATAGGTTTTTATGGCTAACGAACAATTTCTGAAATTGACATTTGACTATTCTTGATGGGATTTCGTGGTATAATGAAACAAGCGTTCGTGGCAGCAACAAAACTGTTCGAATGAAAATCTAACACTGTACGGCCACCCGCCCTCGTTCACACCTGAACGTTTTGTAGCGCGTTCTACGCTCGACAAACGCTCTACAAAACGCTCCAAAATATAAATCCCATTGTATTCAATGGTCTAGTTCCCACCGTGGCGTATTTCCGCCCGTCCCTAACGCGCTACAAAACGGCCCACGCCTGAAAAGGTACAGGTACTACTTTGGGCCGTTTTGTTGCGCGTTTCCATTGGTATACAGCCAAGTAGCCTTCGGAAACGCGCGTTTGTTGCGCGACTTTTTTACCACGAATCACGGTAAAAAAACGCGTGACGGTCGCGCGACAGACGTGCATATGCAATACGCCTAGGTGTGAACGAGAAGTAAGTCTATGGAAAGCTGGATCTAAATGGATGGGTGTCTGTTTGCACCTGGTTACCCACTGCTCCAGGCAGGTCCAGAAAAACAAATGGAACAGAGTTCCGCTTTGCCAGACCTCATTGTGGCAGATCGGGGGTAATCTGATGTAAATTGGACATGTCCGTTTACATGTGAATCTCCATAGACCAGCATGGGGTCCAGTAATTACATTTTGTTTCCTCCATCACAAGATAAAGGAAAAAAATTGGACGGACATGGATGTCACAACGATGACATCCAATCCGAACTGCTCCGATCAGGAGGGAATCCATGCACAGATCCCCTCCTGATCAGACTGTGTGAACGGGGCCTTATGCTGGTATCACAGGCCATGCCTGTTTACCAATCTTTGCATGTAAGGGTCTGTTCACACTAGCCTGTGGTTTCTTGCACAGGCTAGTATGCACTGTCTATGGGGGTGGTGTTTTGCACACATCGCACTGTTTACATTTTTTCTTTTTTTTAATTCATTGAAGTGTCACAAAAGGACATTAAAGGTAATGTATTAAAACTATGTTGGGTTCAAGTGACTGATGGAGCCTTCAGATGAGCTCTGGTGCCTTGCAGGAAAATACAGCACGTCTGTACTTTTCTGCAACCCACTACAAGTCTTGGGTGTAAACCGGGCACCTAAAAAACAACTGTCCTGGTCACTGCACATAGTGTGAATGAGCACTAGGGGGAAATGTACAACTGATAAGGATCTGCCTGTTTAGAAATCTGTCATTTGAGGACATAAATCTGGCCATACACTATAAGAATTGTATTTTGTTCAAAATGTGTTCATTGGGTGGCCCTTTCACTACCCTTCCATCTGGGATCCTTCGATCAGAAAATCAAAGGAGCCAGAAATTTTAGTGCCAAGTGGCTGCCCCTGTCACTGTTTGGTTATTCTGACAGTGGCACCCCTGCCTCTGTCAGAATATAAAGGACACAGCAGGAGATTTGTTCATCTACACTGTTTAGAGTGACTGGAGGAATCTGTTATATTTTTTCCATTCAGCCCGCAGATTGAACCAAAAAATATAACAGTGTATGGCCAGCTATACAGTATCTGCAGACATCAGATGGTGACTGGCACACTATCCAGCCACTGACCACAGAGTGATCTTACTAATCACACTAATGTGTACATTTACATAGATCAAACATGCATGTCTGTGTCTGTGGAGTGAGGAGGAGTGAGCACTCAAGAATCAGCTTGGAGGTTGACCGCAAAAACTTCCCCCATTGAGGTTTAGCCATGAAACATCAGGGAGGGCATACAGACACATAACTGTTTCCCAATTTATCTAGCAATAACTGGATTACCTTTATTTTGGACGAGTTTGTAAAGAAAACCTGTACTGAGAGAAAAATGTGCAAAGGAACAGATTTGTTTTAGGGCTTTTTCACACCGGGTGCATTGAGTTGTGTTGATCTACACAAGCTCCACGCAAGGCCACTGAGAGAACCATTATTCTCTATGTGCTCTGTTCACACCATGCAACTGCGTTGGTGCGTTACATAAAAATGCATCATGTCTACATTATGCAACGCAATTCGCTGCAGTACATCGCAACATGGTGTTGAGCATAGATATAAACAAAGTGTTTTTTTTCAATTTAGTTAAAGTAAGCACTGTGATATGCTGTTACAACACATCACAGCGTGGATGCACAATGCACACCTGCATCACTGCTGGGAACAGGCACTAATCCCCAACAACAGCATGTACCTGTTAGGTTTTAAATGTTGTTTTATGCAATTTACATACTTCCTGTGGCCCAGTCTGTGCAGACAGTATGGCAACTCACCAAGAAGAATCCAATGTAGTTTATTCCAGGCTTGGTGCATTACAGGGATGTTTCTGGGTACTTTCTGAAGGTGAAAAAGCATATTAGAACAATATGCCTTCTAAGTCCATGGATGTAGCTCATCACACCATGAGGGTAAAAACAAAAATAACAGGGGCACGGGGAGGCTGGGAGTGGCAGACTAAGAGCTGGTATAACTACCGGGGGAAGGGAAAGGGAAGGATGGAAAGGGAAGGGGGTAGGCAAAGGGACATACCCAGGGCCGTCTTTAACGCGGGGCAAAGGGGGCAGTTGCCCGGGGCCCAGTCATGGTTGTGGAGCCCAAAGCAGCTGCCCCTTAGCCCGCAGAAACTTGCCGATCGGATCGCATAGTAAAATACGTTATGGCAGCAGCCGCAATGCCATAACGTATTTTCCTATGCGATCTGCACGATCGCATACTACAGGTGTAGCTCCTCCCCCGCTCGAGTAGCGTGACATGTAAGTGTCACACGGGCTTCACTGGAGGACGTGCGTACGGGTGCCTCACACATGCCCAGGGGAGTCAGACATCCGGAAAGAAAGACTGAGGCTGACTGGCACGACTGCACGAGGACTGTTCTGGGATTGACTGAGGCAGGTAAGAGCTGGCCAAAGTTTATGCTTACTCTCACAACTTGGGAAATATTGTGTATGTGATCAGTGAAAATATCTCGGTGTTGGGGAAGTGAGAGAAATTCCTGGTGGGGGGGAGAAAATGTTTGCCCAGGGTCCGATCAGTATTAAAGACGGGCCTGGACATACCAATGCATGATACATAAATATGAAAGAGGCTGCGGTGGCAACACACTTTTCTTTGCCTCCTACTGATCTGGTCAGCATTGGAAGCTGAAGGAAGGTGGAAATATCTCCAACATAACTGTGTCTCCAGCAACAGTCACCCTTGCCACCTATATTTTCTCCTAACCATGTTGACATATGGGTTTTATACCTACAGCCAGGGCTGGACAAATCCTAGGAGCCAGGTAGCCAATGCTCCTTCACAATGACAGCTAATGCCTAACGTTTCAGGTATTTGCTAGTTGGCTGGCTCCTGGATTGGACAAACTAGGTCCTGAATTTTGTATAAGTTTGTCCACCTCCCATATAACGTAACCGCTGCTTATGTATTATTTTATCATATACATGCCCATATTGTTGTTGTGCAAATAGATGTAAGTCCCATATTTATGACAGATTCACATGTCTAAGGCTTGCCAGTATAAGCTTCACATTGCAACCATCCACATTGAAAAAAATAGTCATTTCACCACTCAGAGATTGTATTGGTAAGAATATAGACAAGATCTAAAATTCGTCTGGAAGGTCACACAATGAAAATGCATCAGTTGCAAAATAACACCATGTTTACTTGTTCTACCTTTATCATCTGAAAAATGGAAATACTATTTTTGCACCTCTTCCTTAAACACTGATTTTGCCTTATACTGATATTCTGTGTTTGCATTCTGAATAAACCAATCTTTTTTTCTCTGGCCAGTACACCATGTGATCCAATTTCAGTGTCCCTGTTTTCCCTTCTCCGGTAAGCCACGGCTTGTCTTGTCAGTTCCCTGGAAGGAAGCATTTCATAGCATTCTGGGACACAGACTGAGATCTCAACATTTATAACAAGTTAGAACTAGCATGGCTTGTAAAACACCATATAAAATAAAAGTTGTTAGGCCAGAATGACCAGAAAGTTATATTATAATATGTGTTATTTCGATAAATAAAGTCTTAGAAGGGGATAAGAGAAAATAAGAATAAATGGGTAGTTTTGCAAAACAAGAAAAAAAGTTATGTGGATGTTA